TCCTGGCAAACATCCTTCAGGAAATAATAGAGCATGTCTGAAGAAAGTCAGGACCGTCATGGCGTCACATTTTGCTGGATGACAAATTGTTACAGAAATTATTGCGATAAACGATAATATTGTTGTTTTGAGACCATAATGCAAGAAACCAATCAGTAAACTTTAACTCTTTCATGTCTGAATTATAATCCTTTACATCAGGTTTTTTTTCTAAAGAGATTTTGATTTTTTAACGGCATAAAAATGGTGGGAAAAAATTTTTTTTTTGTAATTTTCTCCAAATACAAAGATGTTATTTGGAAAATACATCAGTAGTATTGGTATTGCTTTATGTTTCAATGATCTGCTGACCTGCCAGAGTCCTTTACAGTAAAAAGAGGGACTGGAGTTGCTTTTTCACCTGTCAGCCATATTGGATTTAACAAAAGCTTTCTTGCACTTGCAGTGGATGGCCAGTAGTTGGCAGTGTATTGTATGAGGCACCAGTGTCCACTTCTGTGATCTGTGAGCATTTAAAACATAAAAGTCCACAAGAAACAGATGAAAAAGGCGTTTAGACGTCTTTCCACTGCAGTGGACAATGGATTTGCTGTGACAGGTTTATATTTATATGCACTTCCGTTGGCTACAATAATCAATGAATCTATTAATCGCATGATAAATTAAAACAAACTCAGTATTTTCCATTTGCGTTGTTTTTTATCTCTTTCTACCAAAACCTGAATGAGAAAATTTTTCATTTTTTTGATGGACAGTTTTGTTTACAAAGACTTGAAAATTCATTTTATTTGTTGTTTTGTTTATTTATTTTGGATATTTAAACTGATCTTGCGGAATGTTCTCTTGCATTATTATTTTGCCATTATACTCCTTAAAGACGGTCTCAAAACAATAAGATTATTGTTCACCGAATTTAGTGAAATTTGTTATGGTTTCAGGCCTCGTTAGGTATTTTAAAGTCACGTTGGTAAACAGGCTGGCCACAATATTTGCTCCTCCTCCTCTTCCTCTGAGTCTTCCTCTACATAACCTCCTGTGATTAACACTCATTCTTCATCCCATCCCCAGGCCGCCACTGCAGTGCAAGTGTAACTAAAGTCTGACTCTAGGTAGGTACCTGCTCCCTCCTTAGTGTAAATGAAGTGTGACTTTGGGCAGGAATTATGTCCCTGCAGAAAGCGGCGACAGCCAGGCTGACAGCAGACCCAGGCGGCCTGCAGTGGCTCACACACGTCCAGCTTTCGACCTCATTTAATTCTCTCACTGCAGCAACACTAAATATCACCAAGTTCTTTCTGCCTAGTTCCCAGTACTCTTGAAATAAGTCAAAGTAACTTAAAAGTTTGTTTTTTTTCCCCTGAAAATAGGAGCTTACGTAAATAATTCTGCATTATTGATGAAAACCTTCTTGCTCCATTGGCAGACAAATTAACTTATGAGAAAAACGTTTAGTTATAAGTGAAATAATCTGCCTGTGGAACCAGAAGTCACTACATCGAGCTACAAAACTACTTTTAAGTTTGTTTGTCTCGGTTCAAATGCACTCAGATATTTGCTCCATAAATTTGACCAAAATACTTGGTAAGATTTTGTATTTTTGCAGTGCATGGATTAAAAAATAAATAATTAAAAATCATGCCGAATTCAAATCATAGATTCCTGAATGATCACCGTCTCCCTTCTTCTTTCTCGATTCATAACTTTTAAGCGAAGACTTCAAACATTTCAGTGATATTCTGATTTATTGAGATACGCCGAGAAACAAAAAGCTCTAAAATCTGATAGAAGTTGATTTAACTTCAGTTTTTGACTTCATAAGAAATCCTCATGAACCTGCACCAGATCAAATGAGAACCAGAAGAAGGAGAACCTAAACACGGGTCCGTTTGCTCAGCAGGAGGTTTGGCGGCGAAGTGACGGCGGGCACTCTGAAGCTTTCACTGCCGCCTGCCTTCCGGGGCTCAGCGATGCTCAGATTGCAGCTGCTGCTGCGGTTCTGCTACAAATGGATGAAAATACTCCTGTCCATTTGCTGAGCTTTGCACTTCAGAACATTTTGACCTGGATGACTGAAACAGGAGAAGAAGTGTTGCACAAACAGCCGCTGTCTTCTTAGGTAAAATATTTAGCCGGAGTGCAGAAAGCTTCACAGGTTAGCATTACTCTGCTGGCTGCAGATTGGACTGCAGCCAAAAATATATCTAAGCAACAGATTTACAAAAAGTTATATCATTTATGACAAGGGAAAATTGTCTTATTAGTTAATTTATCGGCCAATGGAAATAGAAGCTCCTACATCTTGCTGAAAAGATACTTTTAAATGAATTCAGGTTCACTAAGATATTTGCACCTGAAACTAGACAGAAATACTTGGTGAGATTTAGTGTTTTTGCAGTGAATTTACAAAACAAAAAGATCTTATTCAGATCAACTTATGATCCAGTTCAGTTTAAATTCAGATCAGTTGAGTAAAACGTTTTTGTTTCTGTGATCAAGCCATTTATTTACACGTCACCACTGACCTCAATTTAGAGGATTTAGTTACTTTATCAAACTCAGTCAAAGATTATATGGTGCAATGACTTTCCATATTCCCACTGCTTCACCAAAATCCTGAACATTTTGCACATTTTCATACAAATGTATTATTGCAAACAAGATGCTGAGTTATGTACATGAATGAAATAACACAAATCAATATAATATGTTAATTACTGAATGAAGAGTCGTAACAGTTCAGGTTATCGGTTTATGAGGACAGTGGAGAAATGATAAATTGTCTCATATCCAAGCATTTCTCTACTCTTAACATTAAAACTTTATGTTTCATTTGCATCTGTTTTGTGAAGCAGAAACGTTTTAATAAAACCATCATTCGATCCCAGCCGTTGCACCGGAGATTTAAGCAACACAGAATATTTCCCAGGAATCTTTTCAGTGGCGTAAAAGTCTCCAGTAAAAATGCATCATACATATTTTACTACCTAGGCCTACAAAAGGGGGAGAAAAAAAAGACTTTTATTCATGGTTGACTAAAACATGATGTGTTGTCCAAAGTGGTGGAGCAGGCCACTGAGCACAACACAATGTTGCCCTATTTTTATTTTGTGTTGACTTTTTTGCTTCTGGACAGGAAGACACAAAGGGCGTCATACTGTTTCCTTGTTGTCTCTCTGTGGCCATGTGATGGTTGGAGGTTTATTTAATGCCACTTTAAATCATTAACATCTCCTAATTTAACAGTAAAGCTCCAGCCATTATATGTGTGTGAGCGGTTCATTGGTAGATTTCTACCAATGGTGTTTTTCACTTCCTCTGATGCAACAACACGCTGTCAGCGCGGCCCTTTGTTCTCTGTGGCGCCGCCCTGCAGGGAAAACTCAACATCTGCATGCTGTGGCTCACACCACACATACAGCGGGAAAGGACACCGAGGACGCTGCATGAGTTTTAAACTCACCAACAAGTCGCTTGCGCAGCTGGATTTAGTTTTCCTTGTCACGTGTCATTTCCCACTGTAGCCAAAATACAAAGCGATTCGGTTACAGGAAACGATTACAGCAGGAAACGCTTCTGTTAAATGTTGCTGAGAGAGCTTTTTTTTTTTTTCCCACGTTGGCCATTTGAAGTTTGCATGAATCAAAAGCAAGTGCAACGAATCAAAAGCAAGTGCAACGAATCCACGGTTAGATTTACAGCGGCGCTCGCAGTGGTGCACAAAGTCTCCGTCACTTTAAACGTGAAAATATCAGGATTTTTTCCACCGTTGATGTGACGTTTATTCTGCACAGTCCAATTGAAAATTTGTGAATGAAAATTTTAGAAATGGTGCAGTGACCTCGTCTTGTTGATTAAATCTAAATATTCTGATGCAATTGGACTTATTTTGTTGAAAAGTTGCAAAGCATAAAATGGAGGAGGAGCAGATATTTTTTTTGCAGTGAAAGCATCCAGCTAAAACCTCCACACAGCTGCTGGGGTCTGAAGACAAAATGTAACTTTTGGAAACTTTTGTGGTAATGCATTACGTTTCACATTGCCTCTTGAATAGTTTTACATTTTTAAACAAATCATTTGAGTTTCGTTTGACTCGGTTCCTACCAGAAAACAAAGTAATTTTAGAAACATCTGCCAGGTGTTGTACTGTAAATGGAGCACAGGAACGTTGTGGTGGCAGTATCATTTCTGTAAGTACAAATACATTTCTGATCCATTGCAGAAATCAACCAGCTGTGATGTAAATGCTTGAGGAAACGAAAACTGAACCGCTTTGCAGCCTAACCCACCACCAAAGGAGCAGATTTGTTGAACTTTTTCAGAGTTTTGCAAATAATGTTCCCCTGAGAAAATCATATTTTTGCTTCCTGAGAGAATTTTTTAATATTAATCTGAAACATTACAGGATATATGTCACATTAAAGTTGGAAAATGTTCTATAAAGCATTTATTATGTTTAAAAACTGACTTTGCACACGATTAAGGTCGACAGCAACAAAAGCACAATTTTTGGTGCTTTATGTTTCTTCCATAAAAGCTTCATGTGGTCAACTCCTTCTCTAAATGGATGATTTGCTCTTCTGTCTGTTTCCTTCAGGCTAAATCTGCCTAAAACACCTGAATATGAAACATTTTGGGTGATTTATGCAGTGTGCCTACAATTGGTGTTAAGTCTCTAGAAATCTGTAATTTTTGTGCTTTGTGTTTATTGAAAAGAAAAAGAAAAAAATTACATGTCATAACTCACATTTTCTTGTTTTGTCTTGTCTGTCCTGTCTCTGTCTGTCTTTGTGTGTCCTTTGTGTTTTTTTCCCTTGTTTTCTTTTTAAACATATTTCTGCTTTTCATGATGTGCTTCTTCTCTTTTGACTTTATAAACTACATGTTCATGTTTCCAATCTGTGCAAATCAAACTGCAATCATCCGTCACTTCATGCACACACGTTTCATCTATGATTTTCTTTTTGCGCACGTTCAAACTGAAACGTTTTTGGGCTGTAAAGCGACCGGCCAAGAGAAATCTCGCAGTCTCAATAACATATCGGGAGTGGCGGGTTCGTCTCTGCGCCTCGCTCCCATCACCAGTCCACCGTTTGAGAACTATGAGACGCCGGGACAACTGCGCCGCTGCCGCTCCCCCATCCCCTCCATTTTGTAGCAGAACGGATCCTTGCGATCGGACGCCAGAGAAACGCGGTGGATTAGCTGCGGATCACGCAGAAACTTCCCTTTGCATTATAATATATTGTGCAAACAAAAATAGCAATAACGTTAAATAAACTTGAACGTAGAGTGACTTCTGTTTGTACGCAGCAGGTATGCAGAGGGGTTAAAGTACAAAACGTAGCTTTAAAGGAAGTTATTGTAAAATATTAGACATTAAAATACTCAGATCGGTTCAAGGACTAAAAATAGCCTCACTGGTTTAAGGAAGAAAACATGCTGATATTTTAGAAGTTAGATTTGTAGATATGCATTTTGTGTTGTGGACCAAACAAAACTAAGCTAGTATCTCCAGCTGGAGAAATGAATATGAAACAAGAAAACGCTCATCAAAGAAAAAAGTCTTTGTTCGTAGATTACGTCGATGTTAGCAGTTTTCTGCATTCGTCGTTTGTGACTAATGATGTAAGAGGATAGTAGAAATCATCGCGGTTAGCTCTTTGTTTCACTGATAGCATCCTGTCATCATAGGACACTTATGTGGAAAGTTTAAACAGCAACTTAAAGCAATGTGTAGTTTAAAAAAAAAGAGAGAGATGCCATGGTGTAAATTAAGATTATAACCCGACTTCATCTTAATACGCCGGGAATAGAATCCCTCATATGCAAATATTACCTTGAAGTTGGCCGGAAAAGGTCCATTCTGCCATTTTAAAGTCAGATGCTTAACATTTATGCTGCGTTCACACCAAACGCGATTTGAGCGTCAGGCGCTTCAAGGTCACATTCAAAGTCTAAGTGGAGGAAAGTTAAAACTCCTCTGGACGCGCGTTGGAGCGAGCCGTGGTTTCCCGTTGCCGTTTTCTTCATACAACGGTAAATGAACCTGAGAGTGGAACCAAATTATTATGTAGTGAAATCATAACAGAGGCTCGGACGTCTTTCCTGAACATTTTATAAACGATGACAGCTGATATTCTCCCTGTCCTGGTTACTTTGAACAACGGCGATGAAATGCTGAGAGTATCGAGGTTTTATCTGCTGAAATTTGCTACTGTGAGTTTGGAGAGTTTCACAAGGTAACTTGGTGCTAACCCGCATCGCGTCTCCTGGCAGGACGCCCCCTAGAGGCCACTATGTCACACAGCGGAGTCTCTGATTGGTTGACTCTCCTCGTCGAGCGGCAAAAGGTCAGATTGTCCAACTCCAAATACTTCAGACCGTCTCTAAGGATCCCTATAACTTCCTGCTCTAACAGATCAAACTGCAAATATTCCCTAAAATGCATTAATATAACATGCAATATCTTCCACTTCTCCACTCTTTGGTGCAGCCAATCAGCTGCTAGTTTCCCAAGCTGCATTTTATTTTGAATATCATAAAAAACTAAATTAAATCAGCAAATTAAAGATTTGGAGTTGCGATCCACAGAAAAACCAGTGGTCAGGCAGCAGGGCCCTCCAGCTAAGTTTTCACACTTTTATTTACTTAATAACAGGAAATGACTGAATGGACCTTTGGACAATAAAAAAATCATTTTCTGGTAAGTGATACGAATTAAATATTTAATACTTTGTTTATATTTTTTAAAAATAAAATACAATGTATTTAAAAACGTAACAAAATCAAATAAATTTTAGAAAGTCAGATTTGAACGACTTTAACTACGAAGTTTAAACAAAAACAAGCACTTTACTAACAGTCAGTATTGATTACTAATAACCTGTAATGTTTGCATGTCGGCATAAGGAATGAATTCAGACACGCCATTGAACACGCTTCGCTTCATGATTGTTCCTTTCTTTACTCGGGTTTTCTTTTGTTTTAAATGTTTTTCTAAAATGGCCAAATCATCTTTTTTTTTCTTTTTTTTTTCTCATTTTACTGAAAATAAATAAGTACATTTTGCTTTTAAAACCAAGCTAAATATCTTTCGGTGTATATTTTTCATGTTTGTACATTCTGTGTTCAGATCAGCAAAAAAAAAAATGGAAAAAAGGTGGGAAAAATTTCACATTCACATATGCAATAAATGTGCAATATTTCTTTGATGCTGGAAAACATGCTGTGCATAAACATGTAAATATGCAGATATATTTTTAACCTAAAAAAAGTGCACATTTAACTACTTGTTCGCATGTTTCAGCTCCTCTGGGTGTAAGTAGTAGAAGTGATCAGACCTGAGCCGTTTCCATGTCGATGTGGTAGCCGCCTGAAATGGTTTTAGTTGGAAAAAGTTTGATATTCTCCTTGTTTTCTGCTGCATTTCGCTGTAACGGTCCGCAGTGCTGTTCCACTGGATGGAAGAAGAAAAAGTCAAACTAAAACGCACATTTTCCACCTGTAAAATCCGTCCGCTTGTTTCAGTGTTGCTAGTATAAATAACTGTTACAATCTGTGGTTCTGGCACCAGTTTTTAAATCCATGTGCTTCCAAAGATCTGAACTGGAGTTTGTAAATGAGTCTCAGTTGAGCGGATGAATGTTTGTTGGATGGTTTAGAACATTTTTCACACAGATTTAACATTTTCATGTAAAAAAAGAAAAGAAAAAGAGGTTGCAGTGTTGTAATGTTATCTGAACACTTGTCATTCAGCATGCTGAGCAGATTTTCAGACTTTTTGTGTAAAATATGAACCTAAACTCTGGTAGTGTTTTTTTTTTAAATAAAGAGAGAACTTTTGTGAGCATGCAGTGAGGAAAAACGCACGCTGACATCGACCATGACCAAACTGAGATTTGGCTCAAAACATTTGCTAGGATAATTTCCCTCCTTGGTTTCCTTTGCTTGGCTCCTCATTAACCCTCTTAGCCTCACTTACATCTTGTATAATCATAAAGGAAGGAGATTATATTCTGTGGATTATACTTAAATCATTGGTATCATTTACAGAAATATAAGTAGGAATATTTTTGTGCACTGATGCAACTGGAGGAATCAAACAATGTCTTTATTTTGCACATTTTTCCTCATATAAATGCTGTATTTACTCAGATTCGTATTTGTGTTTTAGTAACATAGTTAGCTTCTGTTCCAGTCAGAGTTAAATTGTAGTTTTAACCTAAAGTTGTAGAAAATCAAACAGAAACAGGCCTTCCTTCCTGTGCCTCCATGAGGTCCCTGTAGACCCTGATGTCAATTTAGGATGCAAAATACAGCTAGATTTGACTAGCTAAACCTTTAAAGCAGCACTTAATATGGGAAATGTACATGTGAATGCATTAAAATCACTTGAATTCAGTCAAACTGATTATTTATGTTTACATTAAGATTTTCAACAATGATTGGATATGTGCAGCTCTGGAGAATGATCTCTGATTTTACTTTTTTATATGTTTATGTTTCTGTAAAATGAACATTATTCTTTTATTCCATGAATGAAAGAATAATGATAACACATCTCTTAAATCTCAAACAAATATTTAGTATTTATCAGCAGAAATTGAGAAATGGTGAAAACAAGGCAAAAACCTGCAGAGCTTTCAGACCAGAAATAATGATAATCATTCAGAAACAACAACATGAATGTTTTAACTCAGAAGTCAGGATTTGGTGAAAGAACCAGGTTTTCAATGAAGCATTTTTTTCCAGAGCTGTTTATTATTATTATTATTATTGATGTTATTGATAAAAAGTTCATGTCGACAAAAACTGTTTTAATAACTGCAGACAAAATTGGATCATATAAGGAATAAATGTAGATTATTGAATAGTTTCTTGCAAAACTATTTTTAGTCTTTGAAAATGTAAACATTTTTTGTGGTAAACAAAAATCCATGCATAATTTTCAAGTGGAAGACAAAGAAGATATTTAAATTTCATTTAGATATTAAACGCTCGAAAATATGGCATTCATGTGTATTCCCCCTTTTAATACTTAACCCCTAAATAAAATACAGTAAAAACCTTAAGAGGTAACTCAACAAGTAAATAGGTTTATAGATAATATAACTCCCATTTATTTTATTTCAGTTAAACTTGCTGCTTGCAGTTTTTGGTGGAAAACATTCGAGTCTGGTTTGTTGCACAGCTATGAATTGTGTTTGACTTATAAGCTCTGCAGTGGCAGAAATACCACATTTTGTTCAAAAGCTTAATGTTGGGAAATCCAGACTAAAATAACTGCTAGTTACAGCAGTGGAGAATATTTTGATCAGATGCTTTCATCAGTTAGAATAGATTTATGCCTTTAAGGATTTATTAAAATGTTCAGACTCAAAGATCCATGTATGAAAGCCATATAGAGAAAAAATAATCTGCAATAAATTACTAATTATTGTCATATCAGATCACATAACTTGAATTTTGAATATTCTTTTAGTTCAGTTGTCAAACTGAAGGTATGGGGGCCAAATCTGGTCACAGAAGCTTTTTCTGTGACCCTCAGGTCTCCGGTTTTTCACAAACATTGAAAGTTCACACACAATCAACAGGTTCAAACATTTTTTCTGACTTTACTGCAAATTTTTTCCCAAATTGATCAAAAAATTTGGGTTTAATTGACTGCTACCTGTCTGTGATCGATACGGCGAGTATAAAAATGAACTGCAAATATAAAAATTCCTGACAAATACTTCAGAATTAGCAACACAAAATCTGTGATTCTGATTCCAAAAAGCCCCAAAAACAAAACTCTGATCAGTGACAATTTAATTTGAAGAAACACTGATTGAATACGAAAACAAACAGCTATTTATTAATATCATTGATTAATTTAATAATAAAATAGGTTTGATCAATACATCCTGGCACAACCGGCCCTTTAAGAACATTCAGAGTTTTTATTTGGCTCAAAATTAAATTGAGTTTTATTCTCCTGATCTAGTTACAATTTGGATTTATTAAAAAAAACACAATTAGTACTTTCAAAAAGTCGCATGTAATTTTGGGAAGAAGAAAACCTGATATGAGTTATTAGTTATTTTGACAAAATGGCAGCTGTTTGGACAACGTTTTAATGGCCTTGCTGCTGAAAGTGTGTTATGTAAATAAAGTTGCCTTCTGTGATTAAAAAAAAAAATCTCAAGTTTCCAAAAATTCACGCATTTATGTCATACTTAGGAGCAATTTTCCAGTGATACAAAAATGGTGAAAATACGACATTTTATTGCATAAAATAATAGATTCATAGATAATGTTACAAGAAGATCTAGAACCCCCTGGTTTAAGAAGTGACATTACAATCAGTTTCAAATCAAAATAGAAATAAATATATATGTAAATCTATTTAAAAGAATAATTATATAGCTTTATAGAAGTTAAAAAATAGTTGATATTTCAAAAAGAGTTCATTTTTCTTTTCTGTGAACATATTTGTGCCTATATCTTATTTTCTGTCGCATTTTCCCTCTAATCTGTAAGGAAACATGCTGATCTCATCGTTTTAATGTATTTATTACTGTATGACAATTCATCAGGTAAAAATGTTGTAAACTTTAAAGTTTTACTGGATTTGCTGTAAACTTTTTGTTTCATTTGACTGCCACTTTGTTGTTACAGTTAATTTTCCATTAAAATCCTGTTTAAAACCATTTACAGTTGGTATTTTTAATGCAGATGTTATATTGTTGGCCTTGATTTTCCCCTTTGTAATGTAATATTCTACTGTTTATTGAAAACATTGTGCTTTCCCAACCTGTTTATTTTTTTTACTGGCCTGTTGGAGGTTTAATGAACTTTGGTGATGCCTCTTCACTCCACGCCTCTTCCTGTGTGGACATCAGCAGATAAAGAGTGGAAAAATGAAGAGCTCACAGAAGAAGTTGAAAATAATGGATGATGTCTGTCTGCTATCGATGGGTTTAATGTAACACAAGATTCATTTTCCTTGATTCCATAAAGGAAGATCCTTCAGAAATGTCTTAATTTCTCATTTTGTGTCTTACCATCACCAATTAAAGGCACAATTTAGAACCTGAAGACGTCAAACTCACCATAAATGCTAAGGCACAAAATGACTGGCGCTAAATCTACTGTTGTATTTTACAAAATTTTTTTCTTTGAAAATTGAACCTATTTCTGAACATCTTTCTTTGCAGTTTTGCAAACACACGTCGGTAAAGCAGCACCAAATCATATGCAGAGCTCTCTAATGTTGTTCAGTTTGAGAAAAGTCGGTTTTCCATATTTTTGTAATGTTTCCATTTCATAATTTTGCTGTTTAAGACGAGCCAACCATTCCAGCTGATTTAAGTGTTTGTTGAAGCATTTTATTTCACTTCATTCTGACACAGTTAAACTGCAGTTGACAGGTAATGGTAACTCCTGATTACTTTACATTTGTTCATAATGTCAGAACCTAATTATTCATTAAATTTGTATTTGAGAAACCTCAGCTAACCAAATATGAAGCAGTTAAGTTTCGGCGTGACTGAACATGATTATTTGAAGGTTAGCGACGTTGAACTTTACATTAACGGCTTTCTGTTTCTCTCTTTGCAGTGTTAAGTTTCTAGCATTCGCCTTCTCTGTTATGAGGAGTCAGTAACTGGTAAACAAATTGCGGCGGGAGCCACATAAGCGACAGGCTTGTCACGGACGGACAGTTGAAAGGAGATCTTTGAGGTGACGAGAGAGACCAGAGGGTAATCATGAATTTAAAAAATATATAAATATGTATCACACGATCTGCTCCTCACATTGTTACCAAAGCAGCCTCTTGGATCGCCAACCACACCTTTTTTGACAACAGTTCACCTGAACCCCTCCCACCTGCCCAGTTCTTCTTCCTGTGCCCCCTTCCCTTGTCCTTCTAGCGGACTGAGCATTGCACTGACACACTTTTGGAGAAAACGGAACTCCTGATGACACATTCCAGACGACATCTCTCTGACAGTGTAATGAACGCCATTCTGCTTTTTGACCAAATCGGCACCGCCTGCAGTGCTGAACCACCGAGCAAGTTTCGCGGTCACGCACTCGTCTGTCACCTGGACTCCAACGAACAATGTAGCATCTCTGCTAACACACTGTAGCATCTGTTGGTTGGGAAATACCTTGACTTAAAAAAACCGATCCATCCACAGTTCAAGGAGAGAGAAAATTATGCATTCAAGGGATCTTCTAGATGTCACTCCTGTATTCCTTTCCAGTGAAGAAGAAGAAAGTCATTAAGGGAGCACATGAGAGACAAAGGATTGGTCTTATTCAATACAACAATTAATTCAAAAAAGAGAGAGATGCAAATATAAAAACGCACAGTGTTTAACGGCACCTCCTGCAGCCCCTTGTTAAAGTTTAGCACTTGTATAGTCTTCCATTTACTTCTATTAGACAGAAGTACTGCCCTGCTCATCAAACAGCACTAACTGAAGCAGAACAATCGAAGCACATGTAGCATTATCTTAAAAAAAGTCATTTTATACTCGCCCTAAACAGTCTCCATTACTAAATAGTGGAAAAAGACTTATCTTTATCTCTCATGTACTGAAGTGGGCTTGCACGAAAATCTATGTTGGGTACCAAAGGTCCTTTAGCATGCACTTGCTGAATGACCATCTGTAACGTATAGTAGATTAGTAGAGATATTAAATATAGAGTGAGGCTCCTACTCCTTCTCATGCTAACCATTGTCTCTTAGTCCTTTGACTGCCAGTAGCTTCCCGTGCCTCACTGCACACATAGGAAAAATCCCCGTGTCTGGGTGACGGAGACTTGATTAGTAAACAGACTGACTCCAGGAGTCAAACCCTGTTGGAATATCGGCCTATCCTGCCTAAAATACAACAACAACAAAAAAAAAAAAATGCAAACAGTTCTGCATTATTTTGAACGGGACCAATCTGGTGAATATTTCCCCAAACACTGCCGATTCGGCGCCAAGACTCCTCTGATGCATACTGCCCTGCCTCTCTTGTCCCTCTTGCTGCCAGCAAGTGCTTCACTGGCAACACAACGTCACGATGAAGTACAGGGGGCAAAGAGGCCCAAAGGATATATTCAGAGAAAAGAACCAAGAGTAAGAGCAAGTGTGGACGTGTACAAAGAGAACAAATCTATATTTTGATAAACAAATCTACGATGCTCCGTGACTTTGGAGATGGGGTCCCGTCCGGGAAAAATAAAACAAAGGTCTCATACAAGAGAAGAAAAATAGTTGGTGGAAAGGATGCAAGAAAAGAAGTATTCCTTCATGCTGGGGTGTGCAACATAATTTAACCCACAGGTGTTGGGAATGAAAAAAGGTCTCTAGAAAGACCTTTAGCAATGACTGACTCTTGCCCATTCAGACATGGAAAAGAAAAAGGATGGACAATAATCCTTTACAAAAAATGCATTTTACAGAAAATGCATTTTTGTAACTTTGTTTACCAGCATGACTACTTTGCATGACTGTCTTTTCTGCAAGCCCTTAGTTGAAGATAAGGGTGCTAGAGATACAAAAAAGTATATATAAAATAAATTTAAAAAATGTTATATGCAATTAATGTTTTAAAAAAAGATTATAATTAAAGAGAAGAGCTATATTTTCTTTTGAGAAGTAAAAAAAAATAATGTGAATATTGAAACATGTATGTTTGCAAAGTACACCCTGAACAATGTTTTGTTTGATGAAATCTCTCTGCTACTACTGCCCTACACTCTTCATTCCAGTGTTTATGACCTCTGCCATGGTTTTTATTTTGTAACGCGTTGAGCAGCACACTTTCTAAACATTCAATTGACCAAACTTTGCCCGTAGCATCTGAGCAAAGTGCTATAGTTGTTGTCAGTCACAAAGTCCATGTTTCCTCCTTGACTTGTTTGCACATCTTCCGTAGCAAAAGCAGCACCCGTACTGAAACAGCAGCTCTCCATGTTCCGAAAGCTTGATTAGTACTCATAGTTTGCTAGTTTTCTTTGGCAATAACGCAAGAGTTGTCGCGACTGTAGCTGAAAAAACGGAGTCCTTTGAGTTATCTTCAAAGCTTCGGTGTTGAAGGGATTCCTAGGAGTCTTGGACGCCTCGTTCGCAGAGATAGCAGTCTCACCCTCTGCAGGACAACAGGAAGTCCAATAAGATAATAAAAGATGCAATATGGCGAGGAGTTGGGAGAGATTTTTAAGTTTGCGTGGAACTAACTGCCATTCCAAATTCAGAGCGTCGGCTTTAGGGACTCAGGTGTGCTGATGGTGTGTGTGGATGTGACGTAGGTGTTTTGCTATTTTCTTTTAACATAATAAATTCTAATATATAGAAAAATAATAATGTGAACACCTCACAGTGATGTGTTAAAAAATTAAAAATCAAAAAAACAGAACAAAACAAACAAACTAAAAAAACAGCATGCGTTATGACTTGATAATCTCTCCAGGGGGAACAGAGTCTTGCCATTTCCCTCCAGCCTTCTGTCATTGTTCCAGTCTGATTCCAGCCCGGATAACTTTATAAACACTGTGCCGTGGTGTAGAGCAGCAAAGTCTTCCTTGGAGAGGCAACTGAGAACTACTCACACTCACAGTGTCGGCATGAGTGTGTAGAGGTAGCTTGTCTTCATTTTTTTTCAAAAGGTCAGGTCTTAGCATCTGTCATTACAACACGGTCGGGTTCTTGTCATCCCACTGGTTAGTTCATCGTATCACAATGCAGTCATGCAAGCACCAATCAAAGAGACGCAGAGCTTCCAAAATGATGTCAGAAAGAGATAAAGAAAGGGTAAGAAGTGGTCCGCCTGGGGGAGACTGATGGCGAAAATGAATCAGTGACAGCCTGGAGGAAGACAAAGGTAATCTGTTGAGTGTTGAGGGGTCTTCAAGAACTTCTTTGGTTTGGTTTTCCCAGTGAGTTCAGGCCCCGCTGGTCCGGGGTTTAGCTCAGGCAGCTGAACGGTCCTCCGCCATTTCTTGTTCATTTCAGGGTGAAGTAGACGACAGAGAGCGTTCAACAGTTCTGTTGAGTCCGCGCAGGTTTAACAGGGTCTACGACTTTCTCTATTTGCAAAAATCGTACCAACACCCAGTTTTCATTCTGGAACGTTCTCAGAGTTTGGATGGCCACAGAGATTTTTCAGAGGTGGCGTGCACACCGGCAAAAAAACACAAACAAAAAAACTTTGTGATTCACCCAATTGTTTGTAAGTTGTGTTTTTATTTTTTATGGCAAGGCAATGTTTTTATTTTCATGGCACTGTTTTTCATTGTTACGTTTGCCATATCTTTGTTCTCCACATTGCAACTCTGCCAGCGGCAGGATGAAAAAGATGTCTTTTTTTTCCCTAATGCATAATACTGCCATTTGATTTAGATTTGGTAAATGGGATGAGTTACAATGTTGATTGTGCTAAGTCTGTTTTATTTTTAAAGGCTTTTTATCTGTTAGGAAATGTAAAAAAAAAACAACAAAAAAAAAAGCAGTCACCTCTTGCAACCAAAAGGACAGATATGCTTTGTGTTGGCGTGTTACTCTGATTTGTCCTGAAGGTGCCACATGGTCTTTGGACAACAACATCCTGTTTGATTTGACTTACATGTTTGTTCACCTTTAAAATGCTTTCATTGCGTCTATTTTTGTTTGAGAACACTGTATGCAATCCACACCATGAATGCCACTGATCGACACTTACTGTAAGCTCCCTGAGTCACAGATGTGCTGTCATCAGTTTTCAACCACCTATTTAGTGGCTTTATGGCTTTCCATAGAGTTACATAGTAATCACCTGTATCTTAAAAAAAGTATTTTACAAATTGAAAATATCACAGCTGTTTCAGAGCAAATTATATGATACTATATAAAGTTTTCCAATATATGAAATGATATTTTAATTAGAAGATCTAACAAGTCTAACCTCTTTATAAACATCTAATTTACTGCATTCACATAAGCATCCCAAAGATTCATTTTACATACTATTATTGTGTAAAACAGACTTAGGTACATGTCCATTGTACTGTGATCTTAAATGGAGCCTGAATGGGGAGAAGCGGTGGTCACTGGAGCGTCAGGTTGTGACTTATGCCGGATTTCATTTTTGAAATGTTGAGACACGAAGAACAACTCATCAAGAACTGTACAAAGTATATTTCAATGGAATGTTCATGATCTATCTTTTTATATTTTGAAGAGAAAAAAAAATAGAAACATATCAATAAAGCGTCATAATTGAACATATTTCTACTATTGAGACTTAAAATGTATGAATGTCAATGCGATCTAATGTGAACCAACCTGCATTGCAGCTTGAATGAACCACTGAACAACAGTCATGAGATGCTTTTTCAGAGTCGTTGAAATTGCTTAAAAATCACTGAGATCAAACTAAAATAAATGGAAGAGTAATCTCAGTTGTGTGTCGGTTTGTTTAAGTTGAGTAGCTGAAAGCAAAAGAAGCCCTCCTGCATTCTGACCTGGTGGGATATGAAGTGGTGCAGTGACTGTCACAGTTAGCTGTGTTCATCAATCTGACAGCAGCAGGGAGACCACTAAGCACTGACTGATGTAATCAGAGCTGAAATGAGGAGCCGAAGACAATCCAAAGTCTTTCAAGGCAAGAGTGACATGCTAGATGTGACTGAAAGATTGTGGACTTTTCCAGGAGCTTGCTAAATATCAAGCTTCTAGAGCTTGATATTTAGCAATATTTTAAGAGCACACATTTAAGTTTGAAAGCAGCACTTCATGTCTTTCTTCTCAAAACTTGTAATGCTTGTACTCAAAAACTTCTGCTCTATTTCAAATATTCACTGTGCTCTCTCAAGTCTCCGCTTGCCAAACATTTTCGGCTTGCGCTTTGAACAAAAAAGTATGTCGCCTGGCAACCTCTCAGCCAATAGAATGAAAGTGTTGTACTGGGTGCGTTTGTTTCCTTCTAGTGGGTGTGCCTGTGTGGCTGCTGTCTATCTTATCTATCTATGATGGAAGGTTTGTAGATATATTTTTTCCTGTTAATGGTTATCTATATATTGTTACATATACTCACTGACAGAAATCATAGATCTATAAACCCATTCATCATAGACATAAACAGATAGCATGTAGTGACTAAGGTGTAACACGGTTGGTTCTGTAGATCCATTTTCTTTGCTTTGGTAAACAAATTCCTGCTCCAATCGATAGTCACCACACAGAAGGAAACAAGGGTTAGGGGCTAAGGTTAGAAGGAAACAAACACACCCAGAGTAACACTTGCATTCTATTGGCTCAGAGGTTGCCAGGCGACAGTACTTTTCTGTTCCAAGCGCTAGCAGAAAATTATTCGCAAGCAAGCAGATAGGTTTGCAGGTGGAGATTTGATTCGAGCAGAGAGAATTATGGCAGGAAAATCCCCCCATAGAAGGTGATCTTCAAATCTGGGGCGATCTGGAACAAGGTCAGGATATTTTGAAGCAGGGAGGTAATCTAATGCCCTTTTTTCTTTCACAAAAAAAACTAAATTGTTTAATCTCAATATCTGTTTTCGAAAGATTTTTTATTATTGACACACATCAGTTTATAAAGAGCCTTCTAAAATTGTTAATGCAACCTGAGGTATTTGACTTTGTGTTACATTCAACCACAAACTTGTGTTCTCTCTCCTTTAGCCTACAGTCTTTACCAGATTAGCATTTCCAGAGACTTTCTTCTTATTCTTCTTTGCAAAATTGCTCAGACAGTAAAGAACAGTTTTTAAACCCAAAATAGACTCTTAGCTGGATTCAAGTCTAGACTTTGACTTAGCCATTGTAACACATAGACATACTTGAAGCTACTCCCATCAGTTTCACATGTTTTCACTTCCTAAATTTTTTATCCAGCATCAGATCAACTCCGACCATCCATCAACTATACAGTGAACCCCTGGTATTCATTGGGGTTAAAGGTTACAATGCCACCCAGGAACAGCTGAAGTCCTCAACACTTGAGGACTTGAGTGTTTTTAGATTATATCTAAAAAAAAAACAAAAAAAAACTCATTACTGCCATTTTATTCAAAACACTAAATATACTTCCAAAGGCATTAATAACACTGGAAACCAGAAAAAGATGAAAATAGGTAATTTTTCTGCAAATAATTAGCAGAAGCAATGTAGCCCTAACTCTGACCCTGATACACATACTTTAATTCGTAAAAAATAAAAGAAAATATGCACGTAATTTTTATGTGTAGTCATGTCAGGAGTATCAGGGTAAAATAATTACTCTGCAAAGCCACAGAACAGGAAAAGCAGGTTCAATAAAACCTTTATTTGATGCATTTCATAGGATTAGTTTGTTGCCTTCATCTTTCAGTTCACATTAAACACAGATAAAAACGCTACATTAGACAACCAGAAAAAGCAGAAGGGTTTGTTTGCTATGAATGAAGGCAGCTGTGAGGAAATGTCGCCAATATACAGCAGCCTCTGTCACAAAACATTACCGCCCTCTGGTGGTGGATCACCGTACTGTTTGGCAGAGTATATGCTACCACATTTTCCAAATTTATTTAATTATGTACTATGTGAATCCTTTTTTGTATTAATTTGCACTACTTAAAACATTTCTTGAAAAACAAGATTGAAAATGATCGTTTATTTGATGTTTTTAAGGTTATCACTTTAATTTACCATCAAAAACAAAACATCATTGGAAACTGAAAATAGTATCATAATTAAAATAAGACTCACTAATTTTTACTTTCTTTTAAAAGAAAAAGCATAAACTAAATACATACATACATGTATATTTTTAAAATTAAATCATGGATACATATTTTAATGAAATCATTGGCAAGATATTTCTGTAAATAATCCTGCTTGTTTGATCCAGCAAAAGAAGATCAAGTTAATTTCTGTTTTTTTTTATCTAAATCGTTTTGAAGGGAATGCAATAAATGTATTTGGGGAAGTATTTCTGAACCATAGTAATAAACTTATCAGAGTCAATCAACTCTCCACCTAAGTCTAAGTCCCAAATAAAAACACAAAAGTCCAATTTGAGTCCAACAACAAAGGTATGCAGTTCTTGAGTTGAGTGAAAATCCAAAACATCTTACAAATATATAATTTAATGATAGTAATCATTCTGAGATGTTAAAATAATTTTTAAAAGGTGCTTTTGTTTGCCAGAACAACCTTCAAGAGAAAGTGAATATTAAAGTTGTCTTGGAATCATTGCATCAAGGTTTCATTTCTAAACTGAAATATAAAATACCTTGAAATCAAATGGCACCATGCTCTGCCTAGGCGTGTTGTCATTCGATAGGGAGGTTGAAGGTTGTCGTGCCTCATGGCTGAAGTGGAGGGGACAGGACGGGGAAGGGTCTGCCGGGGATCTAATTTCAACACGACAGCGCTCCTAAAACATTTCGTCCACTGAGGGACGGGGCGCCATCCTGGATGTTCCTTCAACAAACAACTGGAGGCAGAGGTTGTGACCAGGCCGATCCAGGAGTCTGGCTGGACGCAGTGGATCACATCACCGGCTGGAGCGGACAGCCAAAGGAAGGATTCTGTTTGTGTGACACACATAATGTCAGGCCAAAACGCAGACGACCCGGTGAGCAGCAGGAGGCGAACAATGTGAATCCTCATCCTCCAGTTACTGTCTTTCAGCAGCTCGCTTTCCAAATAGTGAGTACTCTTTCTTCTCACACTACCTCTGAACACTAGACACAAAAAAGTTGTCTTTTTTTTATCTCAATAGTGCAGTATCTCATTACACTTGAAATAACACAAACCTATTTTACAAATAACTTTTCAGCAAAATGTGATGTGAAATAATCTGCCAGTGGAACAAGAAGTTTCGAAATAATTGACCTGAAACAAGCTCCTGTATCTTGCTGAAAAGTTACTTGCAAGTTTTGTCTTATTTAAAATGTATGAATATATTTGCAGTAGAAATTAGAGACCAAAAATAGTTGGTAAGATTTGTGTTTTTGCAGTGAATGCACTTTTGCTTGCCCCTTTTTCCTTAAAATAAAAGAAAATCAGTTAAGTAATCAAACTTATCAGGTCCAGTAGCTGACAAACCATCTGTAACTGCTGTTAATGAACTCATTCCTCTGGTTTCACACAGAGTTCACCTTCAGGTCCAGCTGCTCTACAAAGTCTCAGGTGGGAGGTTCATCTGATCTCTCTGAGGGATGGATAGTGGAGATCCAGAGGCGTTTGAAGAAAGAGAGAGAGGGAACGAGGGGAACACGGAAAAGGACAAACATCTGAAGAACCAGCTCAACACCGAGGAGAAGGGAGAGAAGGAGAACAAAGGAGATGAGAACGAGAAGAAGAAGGAGCGGCGGCGTTCGGGGGCTCTGTGGAGGACCGGATGGGCTCTGAGTGAGAGACTGGCCATCAACGTTTCAGGAATGCGCTACGAAACCCAGCTGCGCACCTTAGCCCAGTTCCCCAACTCCATGCTCGGGGATCCCAGGCGGAGAGCCCGGTACTTTGACCCGCTTCGCAACGAGCTCTTCCTGGACCGTAACCGCGCCTGCTTCGACGCCATCCTGTACTTCTACCAGTCCGGGGGGCGGCTCCGCAGGCCCGTCAACATCCCCCTGGACATCTTCATGGACGAGCTGATGTTTTACGAGCTCGGAGAGGACATCGTGAACCGCTTCAAGGAGGACGAGGGTTTCCCTAAAGAGGAAGAGCGGCCCCTGCCGTCCAATGAGGTCCAGCGAAAACTGTGGATGTTGTTTGAGCACCCCGAGTCCTCGTCTGGGGCCCGTATTATTGCCATCATCAGCGTGATGGTGATAGTGCTGTCCATTCTCATCTTCTGCCTGGAAACCCTGCCTGACTTCAAGAAAGAGGTTGGGAACATCATGTTCTATACCAGTGGGCCTTTACCCTGCTGCTCAGGGCCCCACTGTCCTGCATGGTTCCACTCCACTCACTCACATTCATTACGTCAAGCACAGCACATTAAACAATGTCACATGGTAAAACACAGCAAACACTGTTTTGTGCGTAGGTTTTCTAACCACAGGCTAATTCGCAAACCCAGTCATTGGTTGGACCTGGGCCTGTCACAATAATCAATAAATGAATTAATTAAATTAAAGCAAACTCACTTATTTCCATTGGTACGATTTATTGTTTATCTCTTCTTTTTTTTAATCTCCTTCCAAAAACTGGATGATAAAAGTCTTCAGTTTGGTTGTTTGCTCTTATTTTAAAGGACAATTTTGTTTACAAAGATTTCAAGATTCATTTTATTTGTTGTTTTGTTTACTTATAAACTGGATATCTGAAATGTCTTCCAGTTCCAGTGTTAAATGTTCATTAGAATTTAAAGTTTACGGATCTTTTATAATTTATTATTGCATTATTATTTTGCCATTACCGTTACATCACTTAAAAATTGTCTGAAAACAACATTA